TCCCAAATGAATTAATTTCCCTATTTCACTTGGAAGTTCTTTTACCTCTACACAATCATACCTATTACCCGCGGAAAAATTCAATAATCTTAGACATTTTGCTCCCTTGAAGAAGGCTTGCAAGGCTTCACCAGTTACTTCACACTGTCGACCAACAGTTACAAGGCTCCGTAGTTTCTCTATACCTTTAATAGACACAGGAAATTGATCCTTTTTTGCGATCTTTACCCTCAGGTGATGAGTCTTTCTGGAAGATAAATCCAGCCCCACATTTTCATTGCTGTCAATCTCTACTGCCACAATTTCTTCATTTGTCAAATAATGGACAAAATCCTGTACCATGTCGTGCATCTTACATTCAATTATGTTACCATGGCTATCTTTATCAAAATCTTGAAAAAAAGAACGAGATGCTAAGTAGTTGAAGTATTCACCACCTATTTCATCTTCTATCCCTAAATTCTTGTTAGAATTTAGATAAACCATATGCCATCCAATGCTTAATTAATTCAGTTGGTTCAAAAGCAAAATCTTTGGGAAAGATTGCACAATACAATAAGCATGGTCTTATTTGTGAGGGCAAATCATAATAACTTAAGAACAGAGGTGGGAAAATGTTTTCTTTTGCAACATTTAATTTCCACATCTCACTATTCAATATATTTTGCCACTCATTCCTAGTATTTTTCTTCCGCAACAAACCTCCCAAAGTCTTAGCAGCAAGTGGTAAACCTTTACACCTCTTTGCTATTTCCCTTCCAATATCCTCCAAGTTTTCACGCAACTCATTATCCCTTCCAACAAATGCCACTTGACTAATTATTAACCAACACACTTTGTCGGATAATTCTTTCAAAGGAAACACTCGAGAGGATCCCATCCCCATTGCAACCGATTCTTTACGAGTAGTCACTAAAATCCTACTTCCAGGCATCCCTTTTTGAAAAGCAGCTTTTAGTGGTTCCCAATTTTCATCGCGGTCTGTCCACACATCGTCTAAAACAAGCAAGAATTTTGCTCTTTCAATTTTTTCACAAATTTTGCCCATAACATTTTGCAAGGAAGGATTTTGGAGGTTGATAACTGAATTTTGGACGAGACCTTCTAAAATTGCTCTCGCAATTTTGTTTGGATCAAAAAAGTCCGAAACACACACCCAATTACATTACTGAAGTGTGATCGAACTTCATCATCATTAAAGATCAATTGAGCAAGAGTTGTTTTTCCCAACCTTCCCATCCCCACAACAGAGATGGTTGGAATGCCATTCCCACCCAATAATGTGCTTACTATAGTATTTTTGACCTCATCTCGACTATGTAAATTGGAAACATCAACAAAAGATGTGCTTTCAAGTCGTCTAGGTTGTTTGATTTCATTTGATCTTGCTAACAGAAACATGTCTTTCTCTTTGGCAATCACATCTAACTCTTCATTGATTTCTTTTATTTTAGAAGCAATTTCATGACGCCTAACAACTTGACGACAACAAGCAAAGCATGAAAGGAAAGGACATACCTTCTTTCTAACATAAATGCTTTCAACTCCATCTATTTTGAACTTGAGGATCGCAGATTTCCACTCGTCTAGCACATCCTCCACATCATAAGCAACTTGTTTGAGCCTTGCTAACCAGTGCCTGACACTGTTCTGTAAGATTTGCTCTTCCTCTGCATCTTCAAGCAGACATTGGATGGCCCTAAAATTGCTTTCAAGCTTTTGAGCTTCTCTCTCAACATCTGTCACCAACTTCAGCTCTTGCCGCGCATTCTCAATGGTGATAGCAGTGAGTTGCTCCAAGATGGAAGAAACAAGTGCTTCGGCCATTTTGAGAGTAATTGATTGATTAGTGAAAGAAAATTGATGGGGGGATTAAACCATCCAGTTCAGCTGTATTATAAAGAGGTAAAAGGTGGTGGAAGAATCTCGGGTCAATGAGAGCTGAGCATGGGCAAATTAATTTACGTCTAACACTCACTTGCAACTTGATATTGAGAGAGCGAGAGATTTCAAGTCGGGAACAGAACCCGATGTTCAACTTGTGTTCTATTTTGTTCATCCTGGGAATGACGAGGATTATGTTTGTTTATTTCAAACAGTAAAGGAGTATTAGCTGGCTTTTTTTTTTTTAGTAAAAGATAAATTGCAGTCATCCGAGAAATAAAGTATACAGTTTTTATGAAATTAGTTGTTCACATTATCACTATATGTTCATACTATCATTGATTTACATGTTAAATATTGTTAATTCAGCTTAGTTTAGGATTGATATAGACCCATTTTCATGCATAGAAAATAATACAGGAATATAAAACACTTTTGTTCCAGAATTAATAACAAAGGAATAAGTCTTTATTTATTAGTTAAGTATATTTTTATGGTGTATTTGGTGTATAAGATTATGATAAAATAAGATAAAATGATATTTATATATAATTAAATTAAATAATGTAATCATATCTTGTGTGCAATGATTAAGATAAAATAATTTTATTTATTGATCAAAATTATTTATCCTTAAAATTTATACCATTTAAATTATTAATGTAATTTTTAAATAAATAATAACATATGTAAGTTTAATTTCATAAATTAAAAATAATCTTCCTTATTTTGAAATTATTGAATCATCTTATACTAAAAAGATAATTAATCTTTCTTGTAATTTTATTCCTTTCTTGAGATACAATTGTAATACTCCGACCTAAATGATAATTGAGCTAAACTATTATCAAAGCCCATTAATTTAATTAAGAGATTAATTATTAAAGCAAAAATGATTGAGATCTTTTATGACACAAAACTTAGCTATTGTGAAATAAAAAAGAAAACAAGAGTTCTTCCTCATCTTTCTTAGGTTTAGAAAGCATGAAAAATCAAATTGATGATCTGAAATCAAAGGTTATAATAGGGTTAGAGAGCATGAAAAATATTATGTTAATTGTTATTATTTGGAGTTAAAGCATATTAGAGAAAAATATAGAAAAATTATGAAGCTTTTCATTAATATTCATAATCTATTTGAGAAAACTAATGGTTTTGTTTACTTCATATTATTAAGATTTAATGATGATTATTGATTAAATTTTAAAGGTTGAAAATGGGGACTGGGTTTTTAATTATTGAAGAAGAAATTTTATTTTTGAATAAGATATTATTATTTATAATAGTAAATTAAAATAAAATCACGCATTAATGGATAACAATCAACATTTTTTTTAAATTAAAAAAAAATTATTTACTCACATTTGAAAGACAACTTTTCTTATAAATTTTGTTCTTACCATTCACTTAAAATCATTTGATTTATATGTTTTTTATAAGAAATAAAAGAGAAATAAACTTTTATTTTCTTTTTATTAGTTGTGGACTGAAAACTTAAATATAAGTTAACCCTATTAAAAATTGAATTATTTACTGATAAATCTTTTGTCTTTTTAATTTTATTAAAAACTCCCTTTAGTTGTAAAATACTTAAAATATTTCCTTTTTTTTTTCAAGTATTACAATTCTAATTTAACTTTCATTTTTAACTTCTATCTTATTTCATTTAAATCCTTGATCTTTTAAAAATATTTCATTATGGTATTTTGTTAAATATTTTTTCATTAATAATTGAGAAAATATCCATATAGCATGCTTAGGGATGTGGGATGTCCACGTTGCATGCCATGTAAGCTTCGACATATACCGACGTTTAACAAAATTATTTGAAGGAAAGACCAAATTGGAATCATTTTAAAAGTTAAAGAATCCGAATAGCATAATTCAAAGATAAAATGAAACCAAAGAAAAAAAAATCCTCAAATGAAATTTACCCCTTTCTTTTAAATAAACAAATTGCAAAAATCTCAGGTATTAATATAGCTTGATTATAGCTATTAATTTAGGATTGATTTAGAGATATTCTGATGCATAATTAATTGAACAATTCGTTGCATCATAAATATATAAAACACATTTAAGGCATAATGTGTAACATATACCTTTGAAGGGCTGTGATTTCCTTTGTTTCTGATTTAGTTATCCCTTTGGTTGCTGCAGTAGGCTTCACAGATTGTGAATTTGCTTCAATCACTTGCATTAATATTTCTAATCTTATGCTGATGCTTTAGCTAAGCAAGCATCTCATAGTATTGTAGGTTTTAATGTTAGTTACCAGAATTTAAACCATCAAAAAAAGGTTAGTGCTGATTATTAGCGTAATTTTTATACGAAAATATGCATATCTCAAAGTCAAATACTGCACGCAAAATGCTTGCTCTATACCCTGAGATAAAAACGAAAAAATAACTTTAGCACCTCACAATGTTAAACATAATTAGTCCATGCATTATAATAATGCATTGCAAGTTAAAGATCTCACAATAAATCCATACAAACAACAATAACACAAGGAGGGACCAAGGACTGCAACAGGCACACAATAAGTTTTTGCAGAGTTTTAAACAATCACATAATTGAATGGCTCTTTTTTTTTTTAATATACACGAAGCCTATCATCTTTTCTTCTTCCCAAGGATAACAGCTCCTCTGCTTCAGCCTTTTATTTATTTTCCCTAGAAATATAAAAGTCAAAGGTTATCAATTTAAAACACAAGATAAAATTATAATTAAACTATCAAGTGATTTGTTTAGAGAAAGTTTGAACAAAAGTAATTCGGAGAGAGTAATAAACAGAAAGAGTACCCGCAGCTATATAAACCGCATGTGCAAGCTAGGAGGTGGCGGGTTTAAAGCTTGAATAAGGTCTTCCCCACGAAGACTCAGTCCACGCCCTTCGTAGTCTATAACCAGATAGTTTAGATATATCTTTCTGTGAAGTTTGTCTCTCTTAGCCTCTTCGCCATCTACCACATTTCCCACCGGTTCTATCAGAAGAGATTCACGAAGGAGGTCCAAGTTTTCCAGATCTCCAACACTGAATTCTTTGGTGTCATTGCCATCTACTCTCGCTATGACTGTGGTCAATTCCCTGAGAGAAGCTAATCTCCCAATCCCTTTTGGGTAGTATTCTAGGCTCCGACAATAATCAGTACGAAGAGCTCGGGTGATCAATTTCCCTATACCTTCTGGTAGTTTCTTAAGATTATAACAACCATAGCGATTCAAGTATGCAAATTTTGCAATTCAGACATTCCTTCAGGCAGTTCTTCTAAATTCCTATTGTGACACAAATTAAGGTATCTCAAATGAATTAATTTCCCAATCTCGTTTGGAATTTCTTTTACTGTTACACCACCGGAGAAATCCTCCGTAAAATCCACTACTCTTAGACCTTTGGCTCCCTCGAATAAGGCCTGCAAGGCTTCACCTGTTACATCACACTGTTGACCAACAGTTACAAGGCTCCTTAGTTTCTTTATGCCTTTCATAGGCACAGGAAATTGATCCATTTTTGCAATCTTTACCCTCAAATGACTAGTCTTTTTGGAAGATGAATCCAGCCTCACATTTTCACTGCTGTCAACCTCCACTGCCACAATTTCTTCATTTGTCATATCTTGGACTGTCATTTGCCATGTCATGCATCTCACATGCAATTAATTTACCATGCATATCTTCATCAAAATCTTGAAAAAACGAACGACATGCTAAGTAGTTGAAATTTTCACTACCTTTTTCTTCTTCCGTCCCTAAATTCTCGCAAGAGTTTAGATAACCATGTGCGATCCAATGCTTAATTAATTCAGCTGGTCGAATATCAAAATCTTTGGGAAAGATTGCACAATACAATAAGCATGATCTTATTTCTGAGGGCAAATCGTAATAACTTAGCAAGAAAGGTGTGAAAATGTCTTCCTTTGCAACCTTTAATTTCCATATCTCACTGTTCAGCATATTTTGCCACTCATTCCTAGTATTTTTCTCCCACAAAAAACCTCCCAAAGTCTTAGCAGCAAGTGGTAAACCTTTACACTTCTTTGCTATTTCCCTTCCAATAGTCTCCGAGTTTTCACGCAACTTATTTCCTTTTCCCATAAAGGCCAATTGACCAAGTATTAACCAGCACACTTCATCAGATAATTCTTTGAAAGGAAACACTTGAGAGGATCCCATCCCCGCTGCAACTGATTCTTTACGAGTAGTCACTAAAATCCTACCTACTGACTTGCCTTGTTGAAATGCAGCTTTTAGTGGCTCCCAATCTTTCACCATGGTCTGTCCACACATCATCTAAAACAAGCAAGAATTTTGTACTTTTGATTTTTTCACAAATTTTCGCAAGAATAATTTGTAAGGGAATGGGATTTTGGAGGTTGGTAACTGAATCTTGGTCGAGGCCTCCTAAAATTGCTCTTGCAATTTTGTTTTGATCAAAAAAGTCCGAGACACACACCCAAATTACATTGTTGAAATGTGCTCGAACTTGATGATCATTAAAGATCAATTGAGGAAGAGTTGTTTTTCCGATCCCTCCCATCCCTACTACGGAGAGGGTTTCAATGTCATTATTCCCACCCAACAACGTGCCTAGTATCTTATTTTTGACCTCATCTCGACCATGTAATTTGGAAACATCAACAAAATATGTGTTTTTTAGTCGTCTGGGTTGTTTGATTTCACTTGATCTTGCTAATTGATACATATCTTTCTCTTCGGCAATCACATCTAACTCTTTATTGATTTCTTTTATTTTAGAAACGAGTTTATGACACCAAACAACTTGAGGACAGTGAGCAAACCATGAAAGGAAAGAAAATAACTTCTTTCTTACATAAACGTTTTCATCTCTATCTATTTTCATCTTGAGGATTACAGTGTTCCACACATCTAACACATCCTCCATATCATAAGAAACTTCTTTGAGCCTTTCTAACCAGCGCTTGACACTGTTTTGTACTATTTGCTTTTCTTCTGCGTCTTCTATCACCTATTGGATGGCCTTAAAATTGCTTTGAAGCTTTTGGACTTCTTTGTCAACACCTGTTACCAGTCTCAATTCTTGCCTGGCATTTTCGGCGACAACTTCTACTAGCAGCTTTATAATTGCAGAAACAAGTTCTGCCATTTTCTTAGAAGAAAAGAGTTGTTGTTAATGGTTAAACAGAGATGAGATCTGGAATTAAAACTTCTTATGAAAATAAAAAAATAATAAAATATCCCAAGGGTTTTTTATAGCAATAAAAAAATAATAATAATAATCCTTGTCACATAACTTTGTGTTTGCCGGTTATGACTTAAAGACAAAATGGTGAATATACTGACAACCTTAGGATATGCTTTTTGCAAGTTGCAACATCATATATACAGCTCATGACCCAACCACCACCAAGGTTGTTTGCACGGGAGGTATCGGTGAGGGACGTGGACATTTACTCAATATTTTCAACTTACGATTTTTACCACTTAATCTTTCCATGCCTAGAATAATTTATTTTTATTACATAACTATAGTTGAAGATCACATACTTGCATTATGAAATCCATGCTCATAAAATAGGGAGGTAAATGAAAAGAAAGAAAAATAAAAAATATCGTCAAGGTCAATATTGTTTTTAAAGTCTTTGGCATCATGCTAGAGTTCCTTCCACCACACTGTGAATCTAGTTATAAAACACCTTCATGACACGGTGAGAGGAACTCCCGTCACACTGCCAAATGGATTAGCTTTCAAGAAATGAAGTGACAAAAGAAAATATATTGGAGCCACCAACCCACTACTTACTGAATAAGAAGGTCAGGCGAATGAGGTTCACAAAACATAAATCTATTAAAACAGTACTAATTGGGGAAATATAGAATTAGCAAGGCATTTACTACTACTACTACAGATATATTAATAGTCCTAATGTAAGACTGAATCAGATGATAACGAATCTATAAAAAATTCTAGGTTGATGACATAGAAATCCTAGACAAAACGTTTACATGTAAGTTTGTGATGTCAATTTCAATAATACCACCTCATAACATCTGTTAATCTTTATGCATGATTACCTGTACTGGGGCTGGGATTTGCTTGAGTTGACGGTTAGAAGTTTTGTGATCCAACAAAAACAAAATTTCAGTTGGCCTAGACCCTGATCTGTACATTGGAGATCATCCAAAGTATGAATGCCTATCCATTTCTCTCTCTTAACCATGCCAAGCCACTGCAAGTAAGAAAATGGAGATCATCTTCTGTGTACAATGTTTTATCTGCAGTGTCAAGTGCCAACAGCAATGCACTCAGCCTCATTGTAAAGGCACAAGCTCAATAGCGATTCCTGCCAACAAACGCTAGGCTTGTCTCGTAGTATCTGATAAACAATTTTGCAATTCCATTATAGGAAATGGAGTGAGTTAAGGACTTCAAATACCCTCATCAAGGCAAAGAGTATAATTTCCTAAAGGGGTGTCCTCGTCAACGCTCCAGACAACCTGGTAGTCATCCTCTAACCAAAATGCTTGTTTGGTTTGTCACCCGAACTTAATTGCTTCCTTAGTTGCATCTGCAGTTCCATCGCTATTGTTCCATCTGGTGTAGTCCCCAATGCTTGACTGACATAACATCCCATGGTAATAAGGGTAGCCTTCACCTCCTGCCATACAAGAACCAAGACATGCCTCAAACGTTTATGACCTTGATAAGACAAATAGCTTTAATAAATACAAGTAAAATGAATCTTGACAGTCAAATTATAATCAGAAAGTGAAACAAAGCAAAAAATTTTTACCAGATACCAATTACTCCAAACAGATTCATAGCACTACTTGAAATTTTGATCAAGTTCCAAAAATAAAAGTGAAAACAAGGAGAGGACGAAGAAACCTTGGAAGCTTTTCACTTGAATTAAAAACAAACATACCATCTCCAGAGGTCTACTTCATACCCGAAGGAAGGACTTGACAAGAAGTTGCTGCTTCAGTGGTGGTAATGAACAGAGGGCCAGCACCACAATCTAACGCCTGCCCTAGTTTTAACTGTTGATTGGTAATCTGCTGTAAACCAAATGATGAAGCTTGAGGGCATAAAACCAGTTAAAACCACGATCCAACCCTCCATAAACTTGAGGATTGTAGGGGAATAAATGTACGTACTGACGAGCACCAATACATGTGTTGTAGTGGGTGAGTGATCCTATCAACACCTCCATCCCCAATTCCTCAATTTAATGGTATTATGGATTTAAGCATAAGTTATGAAAAGTAAATTCAGAATTAAACAATAAAATTAAAGTTGTAATTTGTAAAGTTACAGTGTTCAGACTATAGATTATTGAACTTTTATAACTCAACTATTGTAACCCACAGAAAACTTCCAGAAAATTATGAACGAGGAAAACATATTACATAACATGCAAACAAATTTCTGCTCCACAAAGATCTCCTAACATTAGTTCACCGTAGGTTACTGTTCCACAGACATTTCTTCACGCCAATTATTTGCCATCAGCTTCTCAATAATATTCTTCAATGCAGGAGCGCTTACCCTGCACTTCTGTTCAGCAAAGCAAGATTTACCTTCTTCAGCTGCCTTGCAAAGTTGTGGATCCAATGGCACCTTTCCGAGGAATGGTACTCCCATTTCTGTACACATTTTTGCTGCACCACCACCACTGCTATCAAAGACTTCACTGGCAGCAATGAGATCTAGCATTTCTGGTGCTTTCTCCCTCATATACTTGATAACCTTCTCAGTGAGATCAGTATGTTCACCAGCCCCTGTCATCCTCAAAAACCTGAAATCTGTCAATGGCTGACAAAAGCCACTCATGTTCTCAACAACTCCAAGAACTGATACTCCAACTTTTTTGCAGAAACTAACTTCTTTACGCACATCAATCAAAGAGACTTGCTGTGGCGTAGTGACAATGATAGCTCCATCTATTCCAGTAGCCTGAAGGAACTGGACAATTGAGATATGCTCATCAGAGGTCCCCGGTGGGGCATCAACAACCAGAAAATCGAGCTCTCCCCAGTATACATCTTTAAGGAATTGCTTGATGAGCCCATTTTTACGTGGTCCTCTCCAAATGACAGCTTCATCAGGGTTAGGGAGCATGAATCCAATTGACATTACCCCAAGGTTGGACTCCACATAAACAGGAGACCAGCCAAGGTTGCTCTGGTGAATGTCTTGACCTTCTAGGCCAAGCATTTTTGGAATGCTTGGACCGCAAATATCAATATCCAGTAGACCCACCTGGAAATTCTTTGCTGCTAGTGCAAATGAGAGTTGGGCAGAGAAAGTGCTCTTGCCAACTCCTCCCTTCCCTGATAAAACCAGTATCTTATGCTTCACAGTAGTCATTCTTTCTGCAATTGCAACCAAGTCTGCAGAATGTAATGGATTAAATATTAGTATGTTAGTAATCGATTCATATGACAGATAACATGGTCAAGCTAGGACAGAAGCAAAAGAGCTTGAAGTTTTATAAACCATCATGAATATGTGATTAGCCATAAGATAGTCAATAACGCTTTCATACAACACCCACATATGCCACATATAAAATAGAAGAGAGGAAAAAGCAAAAGGCAATATAAAAACCAAAATGGAGAGAGGCAAATTACATAGGCCAAAAGCATTCATCAGTTCTCATTTATGGCATATATTTTCATTGTAAACAGTTGCTCTTTAATATATTAGGTAAAACCTAAGACAATTAACTAATCGTCAAATGCATCATTACAACTGCCAAACTTTAGACAGTTAAGGCAATTATATGTGAACTCATTATAAAAATTTAAAAGAAGAAGACGGGGCAAATAGTTAAAACCAAGGATAGTGAAAACACAAGACAGCCTTCATAGTTCAAAAAAAGCCGGTTTAAAGGGTGATAATCAGAGACAAAAGTCAAAACCCTCAGATAGATAAGATCCAATGCACTGGCATATGCAACTTGCAGCAAATTTCGAAAAGACAATATACGAAATCATCTTATACTAGTTTCAGTTTCCTACAAGAATTGAAAGTCCAGTTAAAGCACTAAGCTATTCGATCCCAAATCAGGATTAAGCTTCCTAAAACACACAATACTAGAACCTTTGAAGCATTCTCTTATTATTCAAAACATGAGAGCTGCATCTCCATTAATATTTATTAACAATTTCTAGCTCCTATTGATTATATAACAACCATACTGGTGACATCTCCAAATGCTATTTTCTCCAGTAAAGCTCCATATGCTATTACTAAGTTTTTAAAATTTCAAAAGAAACCTGAAATTTTATTCTAGCCATAAAAAACAGTTCACAAACAAACCTCAGACCATCACCATGAAAATAATAAATGAAAAAGAAAATATAACGAAAAGATGGGAAACAGGGAAAAAGCAAACCTGGATCAGGACCCTTAGGGGCAGTGGCACAAACTTCTTGATTAGGGCAACCCTGGCATGCATCGGATTTACCCGCGGACTCCGATTGAGGACCAGGACAATCTGAAGAGCAATGAAGAAAATTAATAAAAACCAAGACTAGAAATAACAATTAATCACCAAACCGAAAAAACATACGTTCATTTGCGTTTTCCGGGATTTCTCCGTTCTCCATGGACTGATGTTTTTGTTGAAAAAGCTGTGAGAAAAAGAGAGAGCTTCGAGTTCTAACAATGGCGGCAGCCAAAAGATGAGTTCTTCGACTTAAACAAGGCAACGGCTGTTGACTGTTCTAACTTTCACTGCTATTTTTTTTTTTCTTTTTAATTGTTTATATTAAACTTTGACTTATGCTTTGAATTTGTTTGATTAAACATTTAATTAATTATTCTTTCAGTTCTTGGGCTTTGGCAGAATGGAAATGCCATTGCCAAAGGATGGATAAAGACCAAATGGACTTATGAAAAAATGGTCCATTTAAAAACCTTTCCAGTTGAGCCACTAGAAGCTCTAAGGATCAAAGAGAAAATAGAAGAGGCCCAACATAAATAGCAACAGCAATTAATTGGGACAATACCCAAATAAACTCTCAAACTTTATTCTAAAATGCAAATAAGCCATCAATATTTTATTGCATAAAATTAAGGTTATGAACTTTGATTTTATTTTAATTAGAACTTTAATGATATAAAATATGTAATTTTTTGTTTAAAAATTTTTAATTGGATGTTTTAATTTATAAAAAATGCTTATTTAGATTGATTTAGATGAGTCAAATGATAAATATTTAAGAGAATAATATTTTAAAATTCTATCAATTTGACATTATTCATCTAATTTTAAGATTTAATGAATATAATTACAATAAAATAAAAAATTTATGGTCTTACTTTTATATAATAAAAGATAGAAGGTTTATTTTTATTTTTAAATAAAGTTCAAGAGTTTATTTGGATATTAAACTTAATTAATTCCATAAGCATTTAAGTATTTAATTTGGTGATTAATGTAATATGAATTCTTACTAAAAATTCTTAGAATCACTTTTTCCAAATTATAAAAAATCATTACATTTTACATCCATAATATAATCCACAAGCATAAAGGACAACATTTAATTCTCTAAATATATATATATATGTATATATTCAAGTCAATCCAATACCATTATTATATCGATCAAAATATATATTTTTTATAATTATCGAACAAAAAGTTAAACATATTCAATCAACTTAAATTTAACACTGATCTTCTTGAATAAAACATAAAATTTATTAATTGAATTAACAAAATATTAATAGTAAAAAAATTTTAAAAAAAAAGCACTAAATTAAGTAAGTGAATCCCTTCTTTTATACATATATATATATATATATATTTGTGTGTGTGTGTACGATGATCATAAAAATATGAGTTGGATCGGATTAGTTGACTATATTTACCTTTGTGCCCATATTGCATAATATGAAAACCAAGATTAGATGCCGTTAATGGCAAATTAGGAGTGGTAAATGATTTCTGTCATGAACAACAAAGCTTAAAGCATTATTTTGGCCAAGAAAATATATAGTCTACAGGTCAGAAACCACAGACGAGAGAAAAGTGCAAAGTCTCTGAGTAAGAGAAAAGGGGAAGGTCTCTGAGTAATCATTCATTACGTAAGGAATTAAGGTGAACTTTCTTAGGTTGTCGTTTTGACATCAAAGAAAATCCATCGGTGGACATGTTGGTTGCAAAAGGAAAGAACAATGAATGAAGAATAAGAGCTCCCGTTGATCAGCTCAGATTACTGCTATCCTCCAAGCTTTGCAACAAGATCCTACGAAACTAATGGTTTACTCCTGGTGCATCATGTACGATGAACATGTAGCATTGTTGCCCTGTCTACTGCAGAGCAGACACCATCCAGATTCCAGACCATTGTTCTTTGTTCTGCTTGCCAATATTGCTTCTCCTCATTCACAAGGATTGGATGAAGAATAATACAATGACACAAACAGAAAGCATTCTGAACACTTGCTTCATGTCCTCCCACCAAAAAAAAACAGCCCACCTTAAGAAATGTCTATTCAATAGAATCTGTGATTCGATATACCCGGTAATTCTTTTTTTATTTTTTATTTTTTGTTTTACCTTCTCTTTCTTTTCCATTTTTTGTTCTTTTTTTCACCAGCTTATCTGTCTTCAGCATCTCATTCTCGTTCTGGACAACCAACCTCGATTCTTCACGAGATCAAAAGAAGTGACCTCAATTCTTCACTGCATGAACCAACAAAGCAGGAAATAACATTAAGGTAGCAATTTGAAGCTGCATAAGGTGCATGGATCATGTTAAACTTCCTTACTAGGGCATCTATGCACGTATTCAACAGCCACCTGCTAGGTTGTGCAGATGTCTTGTCCACAGTCTGCAGCCAAAGGGAATAGAATGTCTTCTAAGCTAGCCATAAAAACAGAACTGATATCTCGTCTCTTGATGAAAGACGGTGTGCTTAGAAGAAGAGGCACCCATTACTTCTGGCTTTTCTTCACGATTAAGGATTTGCTTCCAACAATTAAAACAAAGCAAATCTAGTGTAAATGTTTCCTCATAATCACAATCCTTAAAACAGCACCCACAACAAATACAGCGTGCAATGCAGAGAATGTAAGCCCTGCAAAACTGAGCAGTATGATGTCTTCTTCTGCAATTCTCTGATGGGCAATCGTAAACTAGTTTTAGTTTTTGATATCTGGGGCAAACCTTAATGCCAATGGCCATATCATCATCACACATGAGACGCAAGGGTCCCTGACGAAAGTTGTCAAGAATTAGATCTTGATTATTAGTAAAAATAAAAGTAAAATTTTTATTTTAAAAAGTTAGAATAAATCTATCATGAACTTATTTAATAAAAAATTTTATTAAAAAATGATAAATTTAAATAAAGTGATAATATTACTAAATAAAAAATTATTTTATACTAGAATAAAATCCCCACTCTGTTATGAGAATTCATTATTTAATATGATAACATAAATTTTATCAATAATTACAAAAAATATATTATAAAGGTTATAAAAATTACATCAAGAGATTATCAAAATTTTATAAAAAATTATCAAAATTATATAAATGATTATATAAATTATCAAAATTATATAAATTATAATTATATATAAATGATTAAAATTATAATTATCATAATTATATAAATGATTATCAAAATTATTCAAATTTATAATTTTTTCATCCTAAAATGAAAGTTTAATTTTGTTTCTGCTAGTATCGAGAGTTTAATTCTAGCAGTTTCAAATATAATAAAAGTTATCAATAATTGATAATTAGTTATTAGTTACTTACTATTAAGTTATTAGTGATATACTATTAATTTATGAATAATTTGTTATTAATTTATGAGTGATTTACCAATCATTCACTACAGCGGTTTAGGTTTTTAGTGACGTTTTTTTAATGCTTAACGACGTTTATAAGCACCACTAAAAGATTTGCGGCATTTGTAAAAAATGCCATTCAAAGTGCCTGTTATATACACGTTACGAAAAATAACAGTATTTTCAACAAAAGCCACCAATTTAGCGACGTTTCTATCTTGCAAGCGCCGCTAAATTAGTTATGTTTTTATGAGAAAAATGTTGTTGCTTTGGTGACATTTGTAACTAAAATCGCTGTTACTTTAGAGACGTTTGTATCTAAAAATATCTTTATATTAGCGGTGTTTGTATCTTTCAGATGCCGTTAATTTAGTGGCATTTTGTTAGTGAAACCGCTGCTACTTTAGAGGCATTTATATCTAAAAATACCTTTATATTAGCGATGTTTGTATATTTCAAGTGCCACTAATTTAGTGATGTTTTTATGAGAAAAACGTCATTGCTTTAGTTGCGTTTGTAACTTAAATCGCCATTATTTTTGATGCATTTGTATCTGAAAATGCCTCCTTATCAGCGGCATTTGTATCTTTGAAACACCACAAATTTAGTGGTAATTTTTGAAAAAAACGTATTTGCTTTGGTGGTGTTTGTGTAAAAAAAGCCACTTACTAGCGACGTTTATTGGTAAAAACGCTGTTATTTTTAGTGGCATTTTAATATACAAATGCCACTAAATTATTAATTTAGTGACATTGTTAAACGCAAACACTGCCATTATGTAAAAATGTATTTTTTTTAATTTCTATTAATAACTTTTAATTTCATTAAAGAGCTTAAATTCAAAAACAAAAATTAATATAAACTTATATCACGTTTAAATATGCATCTAATTAATACAAAATTTAATAATTAGTATAATAACATTCAAATATTTTTAATACATTAAGAAAATAATTATTAAAATGTATGAAACGGATGACTACATACATTTTGCTAGCTGCCAATTGATAAAAAAAAATTTTACCTTGATCACTAGCGTACTCAAGAACCTACTGCATAATACCATATAATTTTTAACACTTTATTGTAACCCTTTTTTTAGATTTAAAATTTTAAATATTTACTAAATATAATACCTGAGTTGGTAGAGCACCAAGATCATTTCCTAAAAATTGTTGTTGTACAAAATTGATAAGATAATCGAATCGATCATGCAACTACTAAAATTTTGCATGCTCTTGCTCCATTCTAGCATGTTCTTCCTCAATTTTGGCACTCTCTTGTTCTCTTTCTGCTTTCATTTGCTGAAAATATTGTTGCATAGTTTGCAACTCCCCTTTCAATATTGAAATATCTCGCGAAGATTGACTTGCTGATGATATAAATTACTGAGACCTATGCTCATAATAGGCAGATGGTGTTGGACCCAATCCAAGAACTCGAACTCGTCCATGCTTTTTTTTTTCAGCAACTTCTATGAATATTCGATTTTTCATTTCTTACATGTTAAGAGAACCATCAGATGCTATTTTAATCTCAACAGCCATTTTCTCTTACGCTTTCTTTTGTGCATTTATCATATACAACTATCAAGTTTTCTTACTTAATTGATAATATGTTAAAAAGAGTAAATATTTACTTTCTATTAAAATAGATGATACAAATTATCATAATTTCTTGTGTTTCGACATTCATGTAAGATCTATCTTTTTTTGTGTGTTATGCGAAAAGTTTCACACATCTAATTGTACTACCCATCTCATTCTCCTATACAAAAACATATATTATTTGATATGATACATATATTATTTGATATGATACATATCAACCACAACTTATTCATGCATATCAAGCACGTCAATCAAGTATTAACATTTCGAGTAATTTTAATCTCATATATTTATATTTTGGCCCTGTAACAACACAATACTTTTAAACATAGGCAAACAATAAAAGCATTTTGG